GAGAAGCCTGCCGGAGGTTCGGCTCAGCCGATCCAGATGTTAGATCGGCTGAGTCGAACTCCTTCTGCACTTTGGATCACCCGAACATGCTGAGCATGTTCAGGTGATCCGAAGCCACACGAAGCAAGCCGATGCACGGCTGATTTCAGCTGCTATACGGCTGAAATCAGCCGTACATCGGCTTGCTACGTGTGGCTTCGGATCACCTGAACATGCTCAGCATGTTCGGCTGACCCGAAGTGCAGAAGGAGTTCGACTCAGCCGACCTAACATCTGGATCGGCTGAGCCGAACCTCCGGCAGGCTTCTCCCCGCTGTTCGGGCTATTCTGAAAGATCCCGAACAGCAGTGAGAAGCCTGCCGGAGGTTCGGCTCAGCCGATCCCGATGTTGGGTCGGCTGGGTCGAACTCCTTCTGCACTTCGGGTCAGCCGAACATGCTGAGCATGTTCGGCCAACCCGAAGCCACACGAAGCAAGCCGATGCACGGCTGATTTCAGCTGCTATACGGCTGAAATCAGCCGTACATCGGCTTGCTACGTGTGGCTTCGGATCACCTGAACATGCTCAGCATGTTCGGCTGACCCGAAGTGCAGAAGGAGTTCGACTCAGCCGACCTAACATCTGGATCGGCTGAGCCGAACCTCCGGCAGGCTTCTCCCCGCTGTTCGGGCTATTCTGAAAGATCCCGAACAGCAGTGAGAAGCCTGCCGGAGGTTCGGCTCAGCCGATCCCGATGTTGGGTCGGCTGGGTCGAACTCCTTCTGCACTTCGGGTCAGCCGAACATGCTGAGCATGTTCGGCCAACCCGAAGCCACACGAAGCAAGCCGATGCACGGCTGATTTCAGCTGCTATACGGCTGAAATCAGCCGTGCCAGTCTGAAGTGAATAGCCGAACAGTGTTCGGCTCACTTCACTTCAGATCGGTCATTCCCTCGGCTGCCCTCGGCAGCTTCGTGAATAGACCCCTGTGTGTTGTAAAGTAGCTCGCTCCTGTGATAGACTACAATCTCAATACAAATTAGTAAACTAAACATAATATGTAGCCATCATGGGAGTGAGCTTGGAGTGGTGACTTCTTTACAACACACAGGGACCATGTGGAACAAAGGTAGCCACCATCCAGAAGGCAGAACAGTGTCAGCACCAATTCAGAGATGATTTGAGGATCTACAGCCGAGTGATATACAAATAAGCTAAATTTTTGTTAATAGTTAAGGTACTTGAATGTATTTTTAAGATTTAACCCCTGAGTTTAGTGTCACTTTAAATGACCAGTATCATAAAAATATATATTTTCTCATAACTACATGGGGCTAATATCTCCATTGACAGTATTTAGTATAATAAAGGACACCTTTTTCTAAGATGAATACCAATGATGCCATTGCTGATCTCCTTCAAAATGCCTGTCTCTGTGTGAGGTTCAATAAAAGATGAGCTGGCCGTTGCCAGCTTGTTTGTTACAAAGCCATGTAGTCATTATAATTGGTTGTTACAGTGATCACATGATCAGAAACTACACTGACTGGCTCCTGATCTCCTGATGCATCTGACAACCGTACAGTCACAGGGCTGATTCTGCCATGGAACGTTTACTAACATAACTTCAGCATAAGTTTTGAGAAAAGTGGTTAAATCTTCTGTGAAAATAACTGTTTCCACAACTGTTCAAGCACCTCTTGCAGTGTTTTAACTTGTTCCAGCCCCTGTGTGGATGGGGGGAATCCTCGCGTTCAACTATGTATACTGACAACGATGAGTGTGCTACTGTCAAAATATCTGGACGGTGACTGAAGCACATTATGGCTGAGAATTTTGAGACCAGCAACTTGCTAGGAATCTAGCAATGCATTCCTATGGCCAAAATGTTTATTTTTTTTCTATTCTGACACAGCTCCGTGTCAGAATAAGAAAAAAAAAGAAAAAGCAGTGTTTCTCTCCTTGGCGGCCGGGAGCGGGAGACTCCCAGAGCGCCCGGGAAAGTTAGGTTTAAAAAAAAAAAAAAAGCCAACCCGAAGTCACCCGATGTACGGCTGATTTCAGCCGATATACGGCTGAAATCAGCAGTACCAGCCTGAAGTGAATAGCCTACGGCAGCTTCGTGAATAGAACCCATAATTTAATGTTACAGTTTTAAAATTTCAAGCAAAAATGGTTTTCTTTTAAATACTTTTTCCAAAAACTAAAAACAAGAAAGCAACCTTTTTTACTTTATACATTTATAATTTACACGTTTATTTCGTTTTCCTTGAGTGACCCTATAAGATATTAATATTACCATAAATAAGTTTAGATTTTTTTTATATTTTAGTATGAAACGAGATAAAAGGCCAAAAGGGTAACCTACAAACAAACATAAATATCCAAGCATCCATAATATTAGACATTTTCTGGAACAGTCAAATCAGATTTGATTTACACACTTTAAGGTGATACAAACTCAAGGATAAATTGGGCCTGCAGTGACACTTTTTCAAGGACAAAACATAAATACCAGAAGTACCGGTAGATGCTAAAGGCCAGATATTATCAAATATATTGTATTGATTATGGATCTCAGAGAGAAGAGTAACATCAAAGCACATGGGATGGCTGTCTGCAGATATAAAGGAACAGCATCTATACTTGATGCAGAACCATTAAGTACCACTGCACATCTTGTATTGGTGTCTAAGGAATGCTGGTATCATAAATCCATGCATGATGGGTTTTCAAAGCCTGAAATTTTGTAGATAAGATAACGTATGTGCTGTGTGGAGTGTGTCTGTTAAACAGCTACTGCATATCAGAACTGACACAAGAGAAATCTATTAGCATTTTACTCCTGCAATCTCTAGTAGCCCTAGATCCTATTTACAGACTGTAATGGTTTTGAAATCCTGATGAGCAACTGCAGATGTGACCTTCTTTACAGCTGTTTAATAGAGAAAATGACTAGAATCCAAAAGAAATGGCATACCACCATTTCCATCTAGCATTTTCGTGCAATGAAAACCGCAAATCAGGAACAATTGACTTAAAATCAAAGGAACTCATAGACATTAGTCCAGGTTCAAAAGGAGTTTGCAAATACTTAAGGCAGTTGTGACTGCCATGGTAACACAATCAAGATATAGTGGTTGATTAGTTCATTCTGAAATCTGGGTTCCAGTCAAGTACATAAAAAAGATAATCCATATATGAATCCATTAAAAGGGCAAATATTGAATAAAAGATTTCATTGGTTTTTCTTTGGTTCTTCGCATTGTACATTTTCTTTGGAGATCTAAATAAAATCTTACTCCAAACAGAGGTGAAATTGATTGTTTATACTAAATTCAAAAACTCCAAATGGCCTTAATGAGGCATTTACTTAGACACCCTTCATAAAATTAAAGAGTAAATAGACTAGCTAACAATGATGCTGGGTGACCCACATGGTGGCATTGGTTGACTGGTGGCTGAACTGCATAGCATCACTGATGGCTAGGACGCAGGATACACCAAAACAACCTATGATGTTGTGGGGCTGCAATGGTCTTAGTTACCAATAGTGCTATGCGACCCAGCCGCTAGCATACTAAGAATCAGTGACACTGTGTGGGTTGCACAGCATGATTGGTTGTTAGGACACAGGCAGCCTTGGGTTCTGTTCATTTGAATGTTCACCGAACTTTGATTTCTGGCTGGGTTAGGTGAACACCCAAGCAAATCAAACCCAAGCACATCCGGTTTACCACTGCTTGTGACAAACTGACCCTTTAGGTCCATGGTAGAGTCAAGGGAAGGATTTTCTTGCCATCCAGATTGTAACATTTTATGAGATAGGCAGGAGGTTAATCACTGCCCACACCATTTTCCCTAACTGGGATATCATTTAAATGTTCTCTGAGATGTGTGGTGTGATGTGGTGTCTGTTAAAGGAAAGACTAGTTGCATGCTGTGCTGGAACAGCCTGCAATTCTAAGCAGACCCAAATTGCCTCAGTCAGCAAGCAGGCTCAATGTTTTGTTGTGTTCTGGATTGTATTGCAAGGGAAATCTCTTTTGTTTTGTGTTTTATGCAATGGTGATGAATGAACACAAGCAGTAAGCCTTTGACGCCTGGTCTATCTCTCTGTAAGCTTTGCTTTTGAAGCTGACATCTATAGCCTATTTAGACAACATCTCAACACATCCAGCTTGTAGAAGGTTAAACCATTAATCATTAATAGTTGACTATTTAGATACTAATGCAAGTTTATAGATACTAATCAAAGTATTTTTCAATTACCGGTAAGTCTACATACCTGTGCTCTGTTAGTATATAAGACCTGCATGTCCCTCAGCTTTTCCAGACCTTCACTGTACCGTTGAATTGCATTTTCATAATTGCCTTTTGCATATGCTTCATTTCCCAGATCTTTTAGGGCTGTAAACAGTATATGAATGTGTATATTATAAGAATTAAAGTGTTTTCCATAGAAATTGCAAATTTTATCTCACAGCAAAGCTTCAAGCCACTGATTGTTACAGGACCTCCAGATGAAAAGAGAACTAGTTACAACTGAGATTGCACAAGAACCAGAATATTCAGTTTTATAGTATTAGAATAGCGGAGTTTCATGTAAAAATGATTCATGTATGATGCTGTATTTAACTTTATTTACTGGTCATGAATCATCTGAAGTCTTACAGCTGCTGTCCCTGTCAACTGCCCACTTTCACACTGTTTTACTTCAAAGTATATATAACAGTGTCAAATAAGTCTTTAATTTAGTAATCACAATGAATGAGAGGACAGACAATTGACACCTCAGGAACTGTTCGACTTCATGTGATCTCTCACTACCAGACTCAGTTTAAAAATGAGGCTTCCACAACATAAGTTAGGTTAAATTGGGATGCAAATAAGTATTGCCCTTTGCACTAGTTCAGCAGAAGCATTTTTGGATCCTTCTAGTCCACCACACATAGCATCTCTGGTTATACTTTCTTGTCATTTCTTTAGAAGGCCTGCACAGTTATATTACGTTAAGACCAAGTATTCATATTTTCACATAAGCCCAGTTGCTGCCCTTTAAAGTCTAAGTAAAGTGAGGGATGAAAACAAAGACAGCTCTCCTGGAGCTTTTAGTCATAATGTACTATAAACAGCATATTAGCACAGTATGGCAGACTTAGGTGCCAAACCGATCCCCTCCAGCACTACGCACCTCCCTCACCAGTGCTTATATGTTTACCCAGGTCTTCTTCTTGGTTCTGATTCTTTGACCACTTGACAGGGCAGAGCCTCAATGGCATAACGTCTGCACATGCGCACAGGAGTTACTTCATCACGGCATGCCTAGCCTCCTTCTGCCCCACGCTGCAAGGGTACCTGTATAAAGGACCATTACTCAACTGAACCTCTCTACTGTAGGCTTCATGACCAACACTTGTAACCTCTTCACCCTATACTGTGGTGGTCGAAGGCCTGCGGACATTATAATGGTCAATGCAGCTCCCATAGCCCATTGTGAATAGCCCAAATAGCAGACCTTCAGTTCAACTGAACCGAAGGGCTCCAGCGGCCAAAGAGAGCTGAAGAATCAGCCGAAGTTTCGGCTGATCCTTCGGCTCTTTAGTGAATAACCCCCTTAATGTCACTTTTCTGCATTGAATGTTCATTAACAATTATTGTTTAATTAATCCAACATTAACTAAAAATTTGGATTTGTCTGATCTGAAAAATGATTTTCAGACCCGAAATCCCGAAAAATTAAATAACGCAAAATATGAAACGAAACAAACCGAAATGAATATTTTGCCGACTTACATGCCTATTCAGCATTTACCATGATATCAGAACTTGATGATTGCTGGAGTATTTAATCAAGTACAAAAAGATATTTACATAATATACTCATCACTGTCTGTTGTCTTGCAGTGATTTTTATATTGCCTCTTAAAACTTACAGTATATTAACTATAATTACTATAATAATTTAATCTAAAGAAGAAAGGTATAAAGACTACATATTTACTTTAGCTGTATTTATTTTGTACAGGAACTGTAAACATCTGAGCAGAGGCCTTACCAGAAGAAAGATTGTTTGTGGCCATGGTTCCCTACGTTTAAATCAAATGATCCAGCTTGTATTTTTCTACCTTTTTGTGCAATAACTTGTTCTATCATTAGGCTATATTTGCAGTATTGTACTATAAACTTTAAATAATACAGTATACTAAATAATTGTTATAATGATGAAAGGCAAATGTTTCTTACCTATGCAGCAAGTAGTTAAAAGTTGCCATTAGAACATATTTATAATTCAGTTTGAGTATGCCACTAACCATTGTAAAATGTTCTTCTTACCTTGGCTCATTTCAGATTTCTGAAAAAAAGAATGTACATATATATAAAAACATATTTTACAAGAACACTTTATATAAAATCAAACATACAATAATATTATAAATAGTGCACAAGTGCATTTTATGGAAATCAGTTATTTTCAGTATCACACCTTGACAATCTAGGATTTTGAGAAGGGACCTATGAGGATTTGGTATGGCTGCTTCTGATGCAAGATAAAGCAAGTATACAGAAGAAATGGTTAGTTTAGTGTTAGGGATTATTTTGGTGGTTATGTTAAATTGGTTTTGGGGTTAGGTGTTCGGGACCTTAGTTGAGCATTTACATTAGGTAAATGTTAGGGTTAGGGTGCTTAGTTAAAGGTTTATGTTTTGTAAATGTTAAGGTTAGAGCTTAGTTTAGAGTTTATGATTGGTTAGTCCTATGGGCAATGGCTTAGTAAATTTGATTTAAAGTGTTTTTAAAGCAAGAAAGTTTATTCATAGCTTAAAACTTCTATGAGCGCCCCTGCCTTGCTGCACTGGGGGTCCCTGGTTCAAATCCCAAACAGGTAACTATCTGCAAGGAGTTTGCATGTTCTCCCTGTGTTTTCTCCCACGCTCCAAAGACATGCTGGTAGGTTAATTGGCTATTGTCTAAACAATTGGCCCTTGTATGTATGCATCTGAGATAGGGACCTTAGATTGTAAGCTCCTAGAGGGTAGGGAGTGATGTGAATGTGCAACTATGAAAAGTGCAGGGTAAATTGTCAGCGCTATATAAATACCTGTAAAAGTATATAAATAAAGTTTTGTGTTGATGGGGGGGTTAAGCATTTGGGGGTTTTTATTGTTACAAACACTTTATAGTTTGGAAACATTTAAGAACTCTTACTTATTTTTGACAATGAAAGACCTCGCACCAAAAAGAACCAGCACTGGGCTCTCACAACTGGCAAACAATTTTGAAGGTCTCATCATGCTATTTGGACATTATAAAGGGAATCTATTTACCGGAGGTCAGATTCCCCCAAGATCTGCAATACATTTGCCAATAAAGATGGATCTGGCATATCAATGTTGCTACATATTAAGGTGTATTTCTGTTAGTTGAGAACCGACTCACAGCACACAAAATAGGCTAACATGCACAGTTTCACCACTTTATATTTTCTATATAAATGATTCTGCTGTCAGATTTAATGTGGCTTTCTCCGACATTCACTGTACTCATTAAGCTACAATTTATAAAACTTGCCTGTTAATATTCCTCAACCTGTTAGCATTCATCAATGTGAACTGGCAAAGCCAGGGAGCAGAGAAAGACTGCAAATCGTTTGCCTGGTGGACAAATACACCTAAGTGGCCCTTTTCTTGATGGATACAGTTTCACATCGTCCAGCACCCTTGGCTTCTCTCAACATTTAGTCAAATTACATCTCATAATCACAAAGGGAGTCACTGTTGTCCCATTTCCTATGTGAGTGCAGGTCTGAACAGCAAGCAGAGAGCTTTATAATGTCCACTATGTGTTACTGACTGCAGGCCCTGCTCTGGTTGATATGTGAATGGTGAAGTATGTCCACTTAGGGCCAAAAGCCCATCCTATCTTATGTCTGGCCCAGGTGGCAATTGCCTTCTGCCCCCAGCCCAGTCCTCCTCTGCCAGGAAGACTGTACAGTGCCACATATTTGGTGATGATTTGCTGTAGCTACAGCCAATATCCTTTTTTGCATGCCATCTGCAGCATTTAAATCTACAATTGACATTACAGAATTTAATACATATGGAAAGTTGTGCTTTTAGATAAAATGAATGGTTCTAGTAAACAAAAAGAAAAAATGCTCAAACGGTGTACAAAACTTACAGGCTCAGTAAATGAGCTACTTGGCTTATTAATAAGTGTCCTATTAGTTTTGGTCCTAATTCCATCTTCATTGTCAGTCTTCTTGAACATATCTAGCTTTTGATCTGCTCTTGAGATGGCATTTTCTTGAGCAGATGAATCTTCAGAGTTTAAGCCTTGAAGAATTTCAGCTGTAAAATGAGATTATAGAGAAACATAGCCACCTAGATTAAAAATAGGCACTACCAGAATATAAATAAGCATTTTAGTTCTGTTTGGTAGTCAGAGTATCTTAGCCAATTATGTATTGTATGAGCATTAAGCAGTCTTCGTAATTGTAGTATATTGTAGATTTAAAGGTGAAAGCTGGCTCCATGCATATCATTCTTTCCTCAGTCACTAAAGGAGAATGCAAAATACTTAGGGGGTTATTCCCACAGCTGCCCAAGGCAGCTGAGTGAATAACCCAGCAAAAGCGAAGTGAGCCGAACGAGGTTCGCCTATTCACTTCAGTCTTGCACGGCTGATTTCAGCCGTACATCGGAGAAAATCAGCCGTACATTGTCTACCTTCAGTCAGCCGAATATGCTCTGCCTTCGGTCATCTGAACATGCTGATCCAAAGTGCAGAAGGAGTTCTCCTCAGCTGATCCAACATCTGGATCGACTGAGCCAAAGCTCAAGCAGCTTACTCACTGCTGTTCACCCCTATTCCCATAGGGGCCGAACAGTGGTGAGTGAATAGCCAAATGCCGCAGAGCAAAAGTTGAAAAATATTTTAAAAAATTGTTAAAAAAAGGAAAATAAATAAAAATATTTTAAAGAAAAGAAAAAAAAAAATTTTTTTAAAAACGCAGCACCCGACCTCATGCGACAGACTCCCGCCGCATAATGAAGCATCTGGCATATGTCGGCAAAAGAAAAACAATTGGGCGGAGCTAGCGGTGACAGCTAGCTCCACCCAACTGTTTCCTATTGGCCAGCATTTTGGGGACGCTGATCTGTCATTACAACTGGGTGGAGCCAGCCATGAGATCATGGCTGGCTCCACCCAGCTGTCATTTGCGTGGAGATCGGTCGACTTTGGCCGACCTTTCTACATGCTCCAGCTATCACTTTGGCTCAGTCAAGCCGAAGCATATGCCTTCGGTTCGGCTGAGCCACTCGGCTGCCTTCGGGAGCTGTGTGGGCCATAGTGAATAGCCCGTACAGCAGCCCTTCGGTTCGACTGAACCGAAGGGCTCCAGCAGCCGAAGAGAGCCAAAGGATCAGCCATAGCTACGGCTGGACCCTTCGGCTCATTCATTATTAACCCCCTTAGCGTATAGCATTGATTGACCACAAAACCAAGGGGTCTGTTCACTAAGCTGCCATAGGCAGCCGAGTGAATGACCGACCTGAAGTGAAGTGAGCCGAACACTGTTCGGCTATTCACTTCAGGCTGGTACGGCTGATTTCAGCCGTATATCGGCTGAAATCAGCCATACATCAGCTTGCTTTGCATGGCTTCGGGTTGGCCAAACATGCTCAGCATGTTCGGCGGACCCGAAGTGCAGAAGGGGTTCGACTCAGCCGATCCAACATCTGGATCGGCTGAGCCGAACCTCCGGCAGGCTACTCACTGCTGTTCGGCCTATTCTTATAGATGCCGAACAGCAGTGAGTGAATAGCCGAATGCCGCTGAGCGGCATTCGGCTCGGCTGTTCTGCTTGGTCCCTCAGTGGGACCGAGCAGAACAGAAAAATAGTTGTGAATGGGGCCTAAGTGAAGGGTAAATTCCCTTAGCGGCACAAAATGCATTTCATATAGAGGCACAATTCAATTTTTTTTGCAATATCTTACATGCTGCTTTTTTATTGATAATATTGGCATGCAGCAAAGTTAGACCCAGTGATGAACCAATAATAAGTCTCCAAGCACCTTTGTTGGCCTTTTTTGTTGTTGTAATCTACCTATTGGATCATATTTCTTTCAAGATCCAGACACTGTTACTCCTAGTGTAAAGGCACCCAAACACAGGAAATGACAAGACTAGTGATAGTCGTCACTAGACCAAGAATGAATGGGAAATCTTCCAATGGGGACACTAGTTCTGGTAAGCCTGCTGACCACCAGGAATTCCCCTCTCTTTGGAGGGATTTCCTCTCATTTCCTGTTTTCTCTATACTTACTGCTTTATAAATATGCCCATCTATCTGCCCTAATCCATGAGGGTCAATATTGTATATCTACAAGTAGATTGCATATAAGGAGAACAAGATGTACATCCCATAAATGTTTTATATATGTTTGAATAGATAATTATATTTCCAAGACAAGTAGAGCATAAGCAAACAAGTCAACGATAGAACATTTAACTTGATGCAGTTCACTAACCTTACAGATGTCAAAGGTTTATAGCACAAGAAGATAAGGATAATACTGTAAACATTATTTGAAATATGTGTGTGCTTGGGGATGAAGCGGCACTTAGGATCAGGTCTACATGTGTGTTAAAGGTTAAGTGCTCCTATGTGACAAAAATCAAAATGAAAGATTATATTCCCTGTCTGGGATGGCAGATTTGATACTTCTAATGCCAAGAGCCATGGATGAAGATGAAAAAGTTATGTTTTAAATACTTTTTCATTCACTTGGCTATACCAAAGGCAATACAGTATTACATGAAAGGTAAACTTTAACCGGTTTGTGTTTAGTTTGTTAAAGCATTGTGTTTCATAAAGAGATGCCATATTTTTGCCTTTTAGAAAATAATGTCTTTACCATTATTTCATCCTTTTTTTTGCATGCCAGCTGATCTCATCTGGCTTCTTAGCAGCCACTTCCTATCTACATGCACACACTCCGGCTCCAGCAGTAAAATCTTAATGAAAAAAATGAAATTGCCTTTCAAATGTCATTAACAAGCTTAATTTTTGTGATTGGATTTAGATCTCCTTAATATCTGATAACCTCATCTGGGTAAATGTATATGTCCCTGGCAGTAATGTTCAGAGATAATATGAAATTATTTGTCAATGCATAAAGTGCTCTTAGAAGAAAAGCAATTAACCAAGACTTACATATTTCATCCACATCTTTCAAAAACTTCTCCAGCTTCTGATCTGTAGACATTTCTGAAGAATTCTGAAATGAAGAAAAACTGATACGTGAAAAGTTCAGTAGTAGCTCAGCACTTATTTGTGCCGATACAGTATATATGATTAAAGGTTTCTCCTCCAATCACATCCTGTGCATGTTAAGGTCCCCACACACCTTACGATAATCGTGCGATAATCGTGGGAAATCCCGCGATCATACGATTATTGCAAGGTGTGTGGAAGCCGTGCGACCTCTACTAATGTAAGGTCGCACGACTTTAAACTTACAAACATGTTTCAAAACCCGCCGAGCATCGTACGATGTTCGGCGGGTCTGTAGCATTTTCGTAAGATAAAAGCCGGACGGGCCGGTGTGCGCAAGCGCACACTGCCCGTTCGGCATTGCGGTCATCGGAAGCCCGCCCCTCAGGGGGCGTGGCTTGCGATCATCGCAAGTACGATCTGCCTATGCAAGATAGGTAGATCGTACTTTTTTTTAAGTACCTTACGACCATCACAAGACAAAAGTCTTGCGATGGTTGTAAGGTGTGTGCCCAGCCTTAGACTTTTCACAAGCTGACTTTTCATATAACTGTAATGATCTAGACAAGTGACTGTCAACTTACAGTGGAAGTAAGGTAATGAAAGAAACTGTGTCTCTTCTGTCATAAAAGCTTCTTTCAGCCTGTGAGCAATGTTTATTTTCTGTGCAATAAGTCGCTCATGCGCAGCTCAGTTCATGGACTCGGAATGCTAAGATGAAGAAACCCTTCTGCCTGTGCGCAGGAGTTGTCATCAGGGCCTAGTCATCTAAACGGCTGAATAGTCAAAACCCACAAGGAGGGCTGGATGAAAATGGAAGTGCTGTGGAGGGTACAGTGCAGTGCTGAAGAGAATTGATTTAGCAGGCAAGTCTGCCATAATGTGTAATATGCTGTGCATACTAGTACATTATGGGGGCTATTCACAAAGGAGCCAATCCAAATGTTGGATTGGCTGTGTCAAAGTCCTTCTGCACTTATGCTGACCAAAGTGCAGCCGAAGGCAGCCAATGTACGGCTGAAATCAGCCGTACTGAGAAGTAGTGAATAGCCGAACGTTGTTCGGCTCACTTCACTACGGCTCAGTTATTCACTCGGCTGCCTTCGGCAGCTCTGTGAATAACCCCCTGTGTATAAAATGTTGTCCCTATTATGTATAGGGATCTTCAGTACAGTCCTTGATATCTCCAAAGGGCCACATATAATATTTACTATATGTAATGCTACAGAAGACCGGTATAGACTGAAGACTTACTCAATAAATGGTCACAGAGTTATACAGGAGTGGGCAGAGCATGAAGTCATGGCAGCACAGTGGCTTACTGGCAGCACGTCTGCCTTGCAGTATTAGACCCCGTTCACATTGAGCGATTTATCGCGCGGTAATTCCCGCGATATCGCGGCAAATTACCGCGCGATATCGCGCTCCAATGCAATCCAATGGGGCAAAGGGTCCTGCTGTCGCGGGTCGTGTGTCACAGCAGGACCCTTTTTGGAGCGGATTTAGCCGCGATTCAAGCTTGCTCAATGCAAGCTTGAACGCGACATCGCGCGGCAAATCTCGCGATGTCGCGCAATATGCAAATCGCGCGACAAACGCGCGATTTGCTTATCGCGCAGTGGGAACGGGGCCTTACGGGTGCCAAGTTTGAATCCTGGTCAAGACACTATCAGCAAGAAGTTTACATGTTCTCTCTCTACTTGCATGGGTTTCCTTCCACACTCCAAAGACAAACTGGAAGGTAAATAGGCTCTGTATATACACTATGTGAGATTGGGAAATTTGGTTGTAAGGTCCTTGAGGGCAGGGACTGATGTGAATGTGCAGTATTCAAAGTGCTGTATAATTGTTGACTATAATACCCATAATAAATAAATGACAGTACCAAAAAAAGGCTGTAGGAGATGGGGGACATGTTACATAAAACTACTAAAGATTGCAATTATCAAAGGCCCCTTTATACACCAATGGCATATGAATCACCTGTCATATAGGCATTGCTGAAAGAAATACAATTTTAAAGCAGCAAATAAAAGTAAAAGTATGTCTCGAGCTGTAAAAGTATGTCTCGAGGTTCTAGTAATTCTAGATAGGGTATAGATGGGTAAGAACCCCTGAAATGTGTAGTGTCACCTGCGCTTCATACAGCGTTGTGACCTTTAAAAAGTGGTGCTCGAAGTGAGGACACGGATGGCACCATATAGAACTTGAAAATCAGAGACAGATAATCACCAGCACACACATAATGTATTCTGAAGCCTTTCTTGGATTTATTGATTCATTGTCATATATCGTTGTAAATGCCAATAATTCAGGGCCACACAGGGTCCCTTCTTCAGGGCTGCTTAGTGATATGTGATGATGTATCAATAAATCCAAAGAAGGCTTGAGAATACATTGCATGTGTGCTGGTGTTTATCTCTATGTGGGGTTATGACCCCTGTCATTTTTTTTCTTGTTGCTCTCTGTTGCTGTGTGGTGAGATTGACCTCTATTTGTCCTAAGGCAGAAGGGAAATTACATGAAAAATTTTGAATTGTCATCAGGACAGGATCAGAGGGAATATCTTTAAATCTTTATTCCAGTGATAACTGTCTAAGAGATGATTTTCCTCGCTTTCCCCCCACTATCTATTTCTCAATAGGACCAGATAGCAAAACAAAAACTAAAAAGGTAATTAAAATATTCCCTACGCTATTCAAAATACAAAAAAAGTTCCGACTTGCTGTAACATAGAAACACACGTGAAAAATACAACTAGCAAATCTGTAAAATTCAAAGAGATTTTGGGCATACTAAAAATGTAAGGCAAAAAAGCTATATGTTATTTGCCACAGTGCAGTAATATATAGCAGTAGGTAAAGGACTCTGAGACATCATGTTGAAGGGGGCCCTCTCAATACTGATTGCATTGCTATATACTGTATATATGTATTCACTCATATATTATGCTTAGTGTCGTTTAAGCTCATCACACATGTTACAATCTGATTGCACAATCTCCTTTAGATCTACCAACAAGTGTGTAATACAAGGGCCTACCTGATTGTATACAGATTGATTGGGTAGATTAAATAGGTCATCATATTACATAGTTTTGGTAAGGGATGCACTGAAGTTTCGGCTGCCGAAACATATCGGAGGAAAATGGTATTTCGGGAAAAGCGTTGAAAGTACCATCTTTTGTTCAAAATTGCAGTGCATCTCTAGTTTCTCTCCTCCCCACTGTGCACTGCTCTGTGGCCCCTCTGACACAGCACAGCATCCAGCGGGGAGGAGAGAAACTGTCAGGAGGCCGAGCGGGGCGGGAAGGAGAGTTCTGCGAGTGGTGATGTCACAGGAGGCTAAGCTCTGCTCCCGCTCTGCCCCGCTCGGCCTCCAGTGACAGATCAGGATGGAGAGTAGTGTGGGGAGAAGTCAGCTGTCAAATGAGACCAAGCTCTCCTCCCTTCACCGCCCACTCTGCCTCCTGTGACAGCGAGTCAGGATGGAGAGCGGTTACAAGCAGTCAGTGGTCAGTGACCAGCTGATCACTGACTGTTTGTAAATAATTGAGGACATAGTATGTTTACTTTGTCCCCAATTATGAATGGATGGGAAGTGATCTACCTCACTTACTGTTCATTCAGGATTGTGGGCATAGTAAAGTAAAAACACTCAATATAAAAGCTTCCTATTCATGTATAGAACAAAAACAAGAAATACCGGAGTTTATGAGAGATATGACAGCATGTCTTGAAGTTTGATAGAAAAAACAAATTATTTTTACATATTTATAGATAACATATGTGTTACAATATACATACAAGGATAAAATAAAAAAGGGGCAACAAACAGTTGCGACCAAATTTAAAAAATATATAACAATGTTCAACCCGAGATCATATACCCATTAGACATTTATAGACAGAACTATTTAAAATCAATACATTGTATATGTCCAATCCCTACGGTTCTGACATCTACCACAGGCTGAATGAAAAAAACTATTAGTGTATGGCCATCTTAAGAAGGGGACACATTTCTGTTAGCGCTTGCTACATGTGTATCTAGGGACTTGGTCACATAATCTCTAATAATTGGGATGATTGGTAGATCACAAGACCAAATGCCTAAACCTACACAAAATATGGACAGCACAGAAGAATAAGGAGAAGCAATATCTCTCCAGAAATGTAGCTTATCAATTTATTTAACAGTGGTCAAACCATTAACCGATCTTTCTGTTAATGTTTGCATACAGGTCCAGATTAACACTGTTGGGTGAAGACCAATATAACACCCGTACTGAAATCAAGTGAAGTGGGAACGAATGCTAAGAAGAACTCATTGAAGTGGTTAACAGCAGATTAGCAGGTGTGTAAGAAAGGTCAACACTCCATTACATAAAGTAGAACGTCACCCTCCTATCCTTCACAGCCAAAGAAGGATTGCAGTTGCCATGGTGCTGCACATGTGATCAGCTGTGTCCCCAACCATTTGAGCGCTTGAAAGTTCAGTTGTGAGCTGAAATAAGTGCAATGGAAACCTTGATGTTGGCCTACCTTGAAAGTAACTGTTTTGGCAGACAGTTAAATTGGTGGGTCTAGCTGCACTTTAACATTACCCTTGAATGTAATGTGTATTATGTTTTTTTCACTAAGCACAGAAAATAAATATTAATAAACTAATATTGACAGACTGGAGCTCTCCTCTAATTATGTTTTCAATATTGAAAACTGAGCCCATAATATAACAAATGTTAAATGACTTGTTGGTAAAATGTTTTAGGCTGAGACCTCACTGCAAGAATAATAATAATAACACTCGGCAAAAATTGATGTTACCATTTTACAGTTGTAATTAACAGTTGTTTAGAACAATAATCTGATTGTCATTTAAATCATTCAAAACATTCTCCACATTAACAACATTAACAAGATGTATTATGTATGCCTGTTGTAATCATAAAAAGGAAAATGGATATTGTTTTATTAATGCCAGCCTAAGTAG